GGCTTTGCTCTGGTGTCCCTGGTCTGCTGGGGGGGTCCAGCGGCTTTGCTGGACCCCCCCCCCAGCAGACCAGGGAGACTGGGAGAAGCTTTTTTCGCCCCGGAGGTCACGGGTGGCGACCCGTCGCCCGTGAGCTCCGGGGCGAGAAAAGCCCCGTTCGTAAGTGCAGATCCGACGTAAGTCGGATCCGCGTAAGTCGGGGACTGCCTGTATTCAAACACAAAAGAAAAATGTCACACTGTGGTAAGTGAAAATACCGTGACAGTCTCAAGTATTTCAAAAGCCAGCTTTGAAAATCGTTTTAAATAAGTATATTATTATTCAGTAAATGTGCAAGCCCAGCCTCAGAATGGACAAATGGACCATTTGGGCTCAAGGAATAGGATAGGGAGCCTACAATCTTTTAAAATGGGCTCCTAACATTTAAATTTTTATTTAAGCACCTAAACAGACTGCAAAAGTGATGAGCCTCCAACAGCTTTGACTGAGATTAATAAGAAAACTCAGTGCTTTTGAAATCAGATCCAATATTACGTGCCTGAAACTTCTGACACCCTTCTCTCTACCCGCTACTTAGTCTTGAGATATTCCTGGCTTTGCCATATCTGAACACATAGCCATCAGCAAGTCATTTTTCTTTCTGTACTTTCGCTGGTCTATAAGACAGAGATGCCATCAGCTGCCTAACTCTCAGCCATGTTGTGAGGAATAGTTTTGAACAAGTGGAAAGCATCGTTTATGTAAAACTTTCTTAAAACAAACGCAACTGCAACAGTTATTTTTAAAGCCACATCTATGCCTGGTGCCAAAAAGAGCATTTCATTGCATATAAAAAGTCTATTTCAGAACCAGTTCATTGCAGTGGATATATGCAAAATCCTGCAATTTACTATTTCACCTGCAGGGGTCCCCTTCAGACCATAAATTCAATAGCATGTGAAAAAAGTGCTTTTATTACTTTAACAATTTTTTATTTATTAAAGGCAACACACAGAAACTTGTTGGGATGCTGCTTTTATTACTTTAAAATTTTATTTATTTATTAAAGGCAACACACAGAAACTTGTTGGGGAACATTTTAACTGGCCTGGACACTCATTCATGGAGCTCAAAGTCACCATACTATTTCAAACCAGTTTGAAAAACCAGCTCGACAGCAAAGCTACAGAACTTCATTTCATTTACAAGTTTGACTCCGACAACAGAAGTGTGGATGGCCCACTACATTCCACATTCTAGTGACATAAAAAAACCAAACAAAGGTTACTTAAAATGGGTACTAAGTATTCCCATCAGCTTCATTTAGCATGGACACTCTAACGGACAATTTCTTTTCCTCTTCTTTCTTCTTTTTCCTCCTCTTCCCCTCCAACCTGCTCTCTGTGCTATTTATTTGAAAACTGGATGCATTCATCATCTGAAGAAGTGTGTTGTGCCCATGTAAGCTCATGAGACCATGTACATGTTTAGTTAGTCTCTAAGGTGCTGTAGGACAATTTGTTTTTTAAGTTTTTCTTTTATTAATGCTGTGACGTAAGGCGCAGCTAACCACAGCATCCTGCTCTGTCCAAACAACTAGACCAGAGTGGAGGGAGATTTACTCACTCATCAAGAATACCACAGCCAGGTCTTTTGACTTGCTCTGTCTGAAACTACTGAGGCAAGAAAGAGCAGGTGGTTAGAGAGTTTTTCTAGCAAGATATGCTGCGCGGGACTTGCTGTCTGAAACTACTGAGGCAAAAAAGAGCAGGTGGTTAGAGAGTTTTTCTAGCAAGATATGCTGCGCGCTCCAGCCAACCTACCTCAGCCCTCACTGGATATTCTCCCGAGTATTCTCTGCTCAAAACTAAGACCCTCCCAGAAGAGAACCCTTGCAGCCGGTGATTCTCCCGGAACATGCCTCCAGCAGCAGCTCTAGCACAAGCCAGGATAATCTGGTCTAAGAGCCGCATTTCTCCAAACCTTCCTCTGAGCAGCAGCCCCCTCATTTTCCTGTCTGTAACATCAGGAAACATATTGCTGCTCTACTTCCTCTTATCCACCCACTGCATCCCCATCCTTCTGCCCAGGTACACTCCCACCTGTACCTTCCTTCACCATCTTCTCACCCAGACTCTCCCGACCCCCAAAACCCCCCTCCAGCTAGAGTCAAATACATGTAAATGCCACTCTCCCACCTATCATCACCCCTCCACCATCTCTCACATCTCACCCTCTGGTGTCCTGTCACTTCCGTGATTCAGCTCCAGAGAGAGTTATGACAAAAAGTCATGTAACTATCACCAGTTACCCCCTCCCCACTCACCCCCTATTGCTTATCTTCTTCTCTTCTGGTCTTCAGGTGAATTTCAGCTCTTTTAGGTAGGGGCTGAATCTTCGTATGTCTGAAAAGTACCTGGCACAACAAAGTCTCTGTCTCAATTTGGTGCTAGAAAAGTACTACTACTAAGGGAAGATCAGCACAGACTCAAGTGCACCCAAAGACCCTGTTGGATCCAATAGTGCAGGGGTGGGCAAGAGACAGCTAGCGAGCAGTATCCAGCCCCCCAAGCCATTAGATCCAGCCCATGGCAGCCACTTTAAACAGCAGGTTGCTAATTTCTATGCAGTCTGAGCAAGAAGGAGAAAGCTTCACATGCTGTCCCTGCCCCCTAGCAAAATATTCCTGCTCCCATTGGCTAGTTTCCGGCCAATAGGAGTAGAGAAATTTTGCTGAAGGCAGGGGCAGTGAATGAAGCCTCCTCCCTCACCCCTCCTTCCCTGAGCTGGAGCAGAGCCATGGGGAGCAGCTGGCCAGCACACAGCCAGGTAGTCTGCAGAGCTGCTGGCTGGGGACCACCTAGGTAAGTGCCTCCCAGACAGACCCTGCCTCTGGCACCCTCCTCCTTCCCACCCCCAACTATCTGTCCCAGGCCACCATCCAAGCCCTCTGTATCCCTTCTCCTCACCTCCTCCAGGTCACACCTTCCGCCCAGATCCTGCACCCCCACACCCTCCTGCAACCTTCCTCCTGCCCAGAATCCTTTCTTGAACCCATACCCCTCCCTGATCAGCCACCCCATTCCCCTGCCTCATGTCACCACCCAAACCTTCTCTCCCGCTCACAACTCCCTCCCAGACCCTGCATCCCCTCCTACACTCCTGCCCCAGGCCAGAATGCTCTCCTTCACCTCAACTCCTCTTGGACCCTTCACCCCTAGCCCCTACCCCAGATCAAAACCCCCCTCCTTCACCCAAACACCCTCTCAAAACAACTCCTCTTGGACCCTTCACCTCTAGCCCCTGCCCCAGATCAAAACCCCACTCCTTCACCCAAACACCCTCTCAAACCCCACACTCCCTCCTGCACCCCAGTCCTCTATCCCAAGCTTCCTTTTACATCCCACTCGCCATCTCAGATCCCGCACCTCCTCCACAAAAGTGCAGCCCTTGACCACTTGCCAAAATCATGGAGTGGCCTCCCATTAAAAATTATTGCACACCCCTGCAATAGAGGGATTTGCTCGCTATCGGTATTTTAGTTGAATCAAGATCATTCCTACATCATGCTCCAAGAACATGTGAGATGTAATCAGAGACATATCAACCCATGATGTAACATTTCAGCCTCTTCGCACGGCACTTTAGTTATTTCAGCCAATAAGACAAGACATGCATCGGGAAGTGTGGCTTGATTCACTGGAGAGCACCAGCTGACAACAGTGCTGATTATCCAGAGGCTTTTCAGGAATGCATTGTGCTGAGAGAAGTGTGCTTTTATTCCGTAAATTGCTTTAAAAACGAGTGGTGTACAAAATGTTACACATTTTAAAAACTATTCAAAGAAAAGAAAAGTGACTCATTTGGGATCCACAATAGAGCAGGACAGCAACATTAAGGTGAACAAAGGATTAGACCCTGGGGAATCTATGCCAGAACCACCATCAGTTCATCTCCATTAACTGAGCAGACATGCAGACAAGTAGGTGTGCCATTTCTTTGCTGTGCAGATTCACAGATGCACACTAACCCATAAGTCATGCCACTGAAGGGTGAAGTGTTGGAGTCACTACAGAGGCAAGTCAAGCCATGATCAGTAACGGGAACACAAGTGATGGCAAGATCAGGTTCTGACGGCGGGTGTGGCCTTAGAGTACTGATTAAGCAGATTTTACTGTAATTTGTTGCACTTGCTTTAAAACGAATAAGCCAGACCATTCTTATATACACATCATCAAACCCCAGGAAAAATAATCCCCTACAGTACTAATGCCTTCCTGCTTTTCTTTTAATCTCTTCATTTGTTCTCAAAGCCACAATTCTGTTTTGGCAGCAGGTCCAGAAGCGTGTTATGCAAACTATAGACCATGTTATGTAGAGTACCTGCCTCAAGTGGCCCTTTCCAGTTGGCAACGTTTTATAAAATGTTTAGCATAGTTAAGTAAGTAACCCATTCCAGCACACAGCTACCACCTAATCTTACAAAAGGAAAACAAATTAAAGTATTACAACATAAATACAACTTTGATACAGAATCAGTTTAGACAAGATTTTCACAAATGTTAACACATTTATAGTGGTCTTTACATAAACCTAGGTTGTTTTTCTCTATATACACAAATTTAAAAACCCTGACATAGTAGAGTCTCATGTGTCTGCATAGAGGACACCAATTTGATGTTTCCAAGGAGTCAGCTTTAAGCCACTGCTGTGAGTCTCAGAGGAGTTTGGAAATGTCTTCGTACTGGATACCCTCAACTCTCCGTCCTTTTAAAGGTCCCTGCAGATGAATACATTGAAAAGACAGAAACAATCCAACGCTGCTTGTTGAATCTCACAGTGGTTAAACATTACAATGTAGCAGAACTGAACCAAATCAATCCATTCATGCTCAGTTGTGTTTGCCAAAATGATAGTTGTTATACAGGGGTGGGCAATAAGCCGCCCGCAAGCTGGATGTGGTTCACCAGAGTTAGCCCCTGGCAGGCTGCCAAATGCTTTATTTACCTGGGTGTCCACAAGTACGTCCACTCACATCTCCCATTGGCTGTGCTTTGCCATTTCTGGCTACTGGAAGTCATAGGAAGTGGCGCAGGCTGGGACACTGCTTCCCACAGCTCCCATCAACTAGGAATGGCGAACCAGGAGCCAACAGCAGCTGCAAGTGGTTTTATCTGCGGATGTGCAGGTAAAATAAAGCATCTGGCAGCTCACCAGAGGCTAACCCTGGCAAAACACATCTGGCCATAGGTCGTTTATTGCCCACCCCTGCTACTATGTGAATTGCACACAGGAAATTTTGTTCATTGATTTTTAACTCATGTCCAACTTCAATCCTTAGAGACTGTGGACAATGCATTAATGGGCAAGGTCAGATTTTGCAAAGACTGCACATCATAATTATAGAATTATTTACTACTTAGCAAGATTGTAAGCTGGACAGACATTTATATGGGCAGAAATATTCAGGGGTTTAATAACAAATGGAAAGTTTTTGGAAGGGATACAAAATTTCATTCTTGATTCTCTAACTACAGGTTGAACCTCTCTAGTCTGGCAACTTTGGGAACTGACCAGTGCCGAACCAGAGAATTTGATGAACCATAGGAGATCAGTATTGTCTAGCAGCATTACCAACACTTCCACTGCTTACTGGGCTTAGAAGACATTTAGGGATAAATTAGAGCTAAACAACAGCACAGAAGACTGAGAGCCAGGACTGGTAGCTGTAAACAATTCTATGGGACCACGGAAAATTTGGACACACAGATGATAAATGGACATCCGGCTAACTAAAATCATGCTGGATCACGGATGCTGTCAGCCCAGAGAGATTCAACCTGTATTAGACATTAGAATGAGATCTTGGTGGGAGAAGATTACCCCACATCTGGCTACTACAATCTTCTTGCACCTTCCTCTGAAATATCTGGTGCTGGCCAGCAGGAGACAGGATACTGAACTAGATGTACTGAGGGTCTGATTTAATATGGCAGTTCCTATGTTACCTATCAAAGTGATCAAATGTACAGGCAATTACTCTGGTTGTCTGTTCAGAGCAGTAGTTACACACACAAGTTATATGTGAGCAGGTGTCTCAAAATGTGATTCATAGTGTATTCTTTGAAGTTTGGAAGTAATATTCTAAGGGGAAACTATGGGAATGATAAAGTCCCTTAAAATCACCACTAGAGGCTGTTCCCAACTGTATGTTTTCTATTGTTTTGTCCAATCTGGTTTTAAGTGAGCAATGGGCCCCTAGTACTTCCTTGGGAGATTTCTTGCCATCACAAATTTTCCTGTGTTATTCACAGTTTATTCTATTTCATGTCTATTTTAGGCAGCCCTTTTTAACTGTTTGTGGAATGATCACTAGAAACTGCTGAATCTACCACACAAAATGAGAAACAATATAAACATCTCTAGAAACAAAAGCCTCTAATTTATGCAGGAAAACCTCAAACATCAAGACAGAGTCACTGAGTGACATTCTGGCCCCAATGAAATCAATGGTAACTTGCACTGGCTTCAGTGAGGCCCGAATTTCACCCTAAATCTCTCTTCAGAGATTTAGAGGACACATACAAAAGAAGAAAAAAAAAAGGCCTTTTGCACTCAGGCTCAGCTCAGAGAATATTTTCCAACAAGAAAGGCTGTTTGTAACAAAGATGCAAATACAGTCTTAACTAGAAATAGTATGAAGTATTCAAAATCTATTAAGCAGCAATCTACACACCCCGCCTAATAAATACAGTAAGAGAATGCTCTTTTGTAAGCAACTAGTCGACTAGTCCCTTGACTGGTCGTTCTGCCCCTCGCTGCCTCTATCAGAGGCAGGGGGGGGGGGGGGGAGCAGGAGCCAGTGCTAGGAGGGAGCTGGCTTAAAAACTGGTTTCCCCCAGCAACATCTCTGTGGGGGACAGGAGGATAATGGGGACCGGGTGTGAGCCAGGAATCAGCTGATTCCTGGCTAGTGCCCAGTCCCAGGATGTTGCACCTCTGCTTTTTATATGTATCAAGAGCCTTAATACATTTAAAAAAGCAGAAGTGCAGAGGGGGGGACCTGGTGCGAGCTGGGACAGCTGATTCCTGGCTCACGTCGGGTCTCCCGCGCTGCGCACCAGCCTTTTAAATGTAAGAGCCAGCAGGACTAGTCAATTAGTTGATTCAACTAAATGTAACATTCCTAACATACATAAAAGTGCATCCATTTTCCCAGCTGAAAAATTATTTTATCATCATTAACAGAGCACATTTAAATAAATCTACTAACTATCTTTGAAGTTCCATTTGTAAATTCAGTTTCCCCACTGTCTGTTAGAGTAATGAGGCCCATTCAATAGGGCAGCGGATTGGAATTTAAAAGGACTTGGGTTCTATTACTATTGGTCAGCTGCACGATCCTGAGCACCAATCTGTGCTCCAGATTCCCCACCTGGAAAGGGGCAAAAATGATATTCACCCTCTGGGAAGGGCTTTGAGATCTATGCATAAACAATACATTTAAAATATATTTAAAAATGTACTTACAGACTCTATTATTATTGTTGCTGAGAAGTTCTTCTCATTTATAGATTCCAAGATACCTTCATTTCCTCTGTAACCTCCATTTAAAACCAGAACTTTTTTTCCTGAAACAGTTAACAGGAAGAGCTTTACCCAAAGGAACTCTCAGTAACTTTTGATCAAGCCCCTCTTTGCTGAAAACATAGGGCAGAGTCACTTTAGGAAGTCTGTATCTGCAAGAATCGCAGAAAAGTGCATTCTCTCGGAGGCAACGCTCAGCTTTTCTTCAGGGCCTGCGTGATCCTAATACGTCTGGGTGACAGAGATGAAGGTTGTTTTGCTTTTAGGAAACTGCTGATGCCTCTGTCTGACGAGGGTAAGGAGCAGAGCAGATTAGCTTGTCATAATTCACTAGAGTGCATAGGCAAGGGGTGTAGCAATGTGTGCAGCTTGGACATTCTCTGAAAAAATGCAGCATTCACCCTCCTTGTCCAAGGAGGTTTGCTGCAGGGAAGGAATCATTTTCTTTCTAGGATCACTCCTATCTTCCGACGTACCTAGCTATTGCTGATTGACTTATTTTGCTCCTTAAATAACAGAAGCGTATTATCAGCTGTGGCCACACCTCTGCATGGGTACACAAGAGAAGAGAGTTGTCTTGCATCCCCTCCATCTTGGAGATCATATGAAGGAATCACCTCAGTCCAGAACTTCATATCCAATAGGAGCCCTGGTGAGCTTCTAATAGCTTATAATACGTAAACCTTCATCTTTTTTCCACAATCCTTATTTTTCCCCTCATCTCTCACAAAAACATTCCTAAATAACTAAATCAAGGTCAAAAATCCAATATTCAGAAGTAACCTTACAATCACAAACTCTGGACAATGGAGGAAGCATCAAGGTGACAAATACCTCAATAACAGGGATGTTAGCGTGTAACTGGTTAACCGAAAAGCTGTTGCTTACCGATTTATGTTACTGATTAAATTTGGACTATCTGGGGAATCAGCGGCACCCCCCTGCCATCTAAACTTGGCGCGGCGCTGGCAGGCTCCAGATGCATGCTGGCTTCCAGCAGCCAGCCCTGCTCCCAGGGAGCTGGCTGCCTCCTGCATGCTCAGGGCTCTGCTAGCTCCACTCCTAGGGAGCCAGCTGCCCCCCTGCAGGTTCTGCATTATGCATAATGTGTTTCATTGTAGGTATAGTATGTAATATATGGATGGAAAATGCATACTGAGAATGACGGGACAATCAGCAAAACTCTTTGGAAGGCTCCCACCAATACCTGCTGGCAGCTGAAGAGAAATACTTGCATCTAGTGAAACCAAATGATTACATCCAAAACATTTTCCCCATCCTTCTTAGAATGATCATAATTCCTCTAGAAAAGGATGTTAAAATCACCAAAAAAATGCAATATTTGCACCAATAGCAGCCAAAGGATACAGGGCACATTACAGAAATATTTTAATCCAATGTGGCTAAGAACCGCTGGCGAGGAACAAAAATAGTAAAATGACACTTGCCACCATAACCCTCAGATGACAGCGGTCATCAGATGCAGCTCTGATAGCTGGTTTGCAAATAAATTCACCTGGTGCTGGTATTACTGTCTCCAGATGTGTCTGGTCAAGTTTCAGTTTGTCTCCAGAATCAATCATCTTTACCACTGCTGTGTATTTGTCAATTACCTCCTGTCATAGAAAATTAAATACATTTATCTTCAAAAGGGAAAAATACCTAAAACTTGATTATACGCTTATTAAAAAAATACAGATGATTTCTAGCAAATGGCCATGTAACATTAATTATGTAAATACATCAGTAATTACTAAACAATAATTACTTAACTATTAACTTTTTTAAATGGTTTAAATAGCAAAGAAATTCAGAAACACAAGTCTTAAATATTCAAAAGTGTGGCAAGTGTTTTCAGGTGCCCAACTTCAGAAGTCTGAAAGGGGCCTGGGTTTTTAGAAAGTGGTACGCAATCACCTTCTCAAAATCAGACCACTGTCTCTCAGATTGGGCATCCAAAATAACTAGCTATTTTAGGCCATTTCTTTTGTCGTGCTAGATCAGATCAGTGGTTTCTCTAGTGCAGTATCCTGTCTCTGACAGTGACCAGTACTAGCTATTTCAGAAGATGATCGGATGCTTCAGACCATTAGGCCAGAGTGACCAAACTGAACAACTTGTGAATGTATGCAACCCCTCTTCAGAGGTAATTTCAGATTTTTATACATCAAGGCGAAACAGAAAACAACTGCAAAGTCAGGGATTGAAGTACCATTCGCAGCTCTTTGTCAAACCTCAGCAACACAGCTTTAAAAATGACTGTATGGTCTAAGGCAACTCATTGATGAAATCAGAGTCTGAAGAAAACATTAACAAGAGTAAACTTACTAGAATGGAGTTATCAAGAACTAAAGGGTAAGTGAATGCACACAAGCTACTATTTTGATTGGCAATAAATCCCAAGTCACTCACTATCCTGGAGAAACATTGGCAATAAACCCCAAGTGGCAATAAACCCCAAGTCACTCACTATCCTGGAGAAACTGAGAACCAGGTAACATAACCCCCGGATAAAGTTAAAGGGAAGCTCTCATTCTGATAGTTGGGGTTCAGTCACTACCACCATTAAACAAACAGATGTTTTCTAGTTGCTGTGGAAACAGAACAGTGTCCAATCACTTTTATTCACAAACTTTGAAAAGATAAAATGCTGTAGACTTACCTTAACAACTGCTTTCTTCTTATGATACTTCTCACCAAGCTTTTTTGTTACAATTTTTACAACAATTTCCTGGAGAAGGGAAAACAGGAAAGAAAAAAAGCACTCTCAAATAAAAACAGTTACTCTCAACATGTTTACATCACAATTCACTTAACTCCAGTTGTCCCCACAAGCAGACACTGATGCTGTGCTATGTAGTGTCAGTAGGCAATGTCACTTCTAAGACAACACATAAAAGAACTTGCCTTTGTGGTGGTGTTCCTGCTACAATTAATTTCTGCCCCACTGAGGCTATGTCTAGACTACACTGATCTACTGGAAAAAGGTACATAATTGCACTCTGCAATTTGCATACCTTTTTCTGATAGCCTCTTCTGAAAAAACTTTTCCAAAAATTGGCCCGTCTACACTGGGCCAAATTTCAGAAAAGCCTCCTCTTTTGGAAGAGCCCTTCTTCCTCGTGGAAGGAGGAAAACAGGGCTTCCGAAAGAGCATGTCTGCTCTTCAGCTTTTTTTTGCGGAAGAGCAAACGCGTTCCCTGGACACAGTAGAATTTTTCTGGGATACAAAACCCTGTAGTGTAGACATAGCCTGACTGGAAACATACTTAAATTTGAATTCAGCGTGTTATGTGACAGCCTTCTGTGGAGTGCTGCACAAGGACTGACCCAGGACATTTGGACCTCAACACCCTGAGCTGCAAGACACAGCTCAGTTAGTTCAAAGGCTGTAGCTTACAACTAAACCTCATTATGGTCTAACCACTAGAGTGGGGAAAGAGGCACGCTGTTAAAACTGCATGTAGGTAAAGAAACCGCTACAAAGGAAGCCATCACTATACAAAAGAGCTTAAGTACTTGAAGTATACTGCTTCAGAAAAGTAAATATTGCACAGCAGCCAGGAAAAGCGATGAGAGATTTACAAATTCACTTATATGATCATGTCTGTTTGGAAAATAAAAATGTTCATATTCTGCTCTTGGATCTGTATGCGTTGCAAATCAGCAGGAGCAGTGTGCATGCTCTCAAAAAGGCAGAATTCGCTCTGATAACTATATAAATATTCAGATACTTACAGGTTGCAACCAGTAATCTGTCCGGGCTGTTCTTTTCTTCTCTTCCTCAAACTACAGAAGAAAAAGAAAGTCTTTTATTTTGTGGGGGTCATTTCATACCATTGCAAGGTGTCTACCCCCCACAAAACCTGAACAAGTTCTAAGCAGTTAGCTATCAAACCTAAATGAAATAGTGCAGGTGTTTGCAGGATAGATGCGAAGAAGCCCAGAAATACACATTAGAATAACCATACAGAGTCAGACCAATGGTCCATCTAGCCTAGTGTCCTGTCTTCCAACTAGGGATGTAAAATCCTGTTTAATTAGTTAACCAGTTAAATATTAAATGTAACTGGTTAATTAAACGGGGGCTGGTGGGCTGCTCCAGCTCAGTGGGCTGGAGCAACATCCCCACATCCCCCAGATGGGCTGGAGTGGCCCCCACACTGCGGGCAGGGGCTGCTTTAGCCCAGCAGCATCCAGCCCACATGGGCTGGAAGCTAGCAGCCTGGCGAGACTGGAGCATCCCTCTGCCCGTGGGGCTGCTACTAGGTAGCAATTAACCGTTACCCAGAAAGCATTACCTGTTCACATCCCTACTTCCAACAGTGTCAATGCCAAGTGGTTCAGAGGGAATGAACAAAAGAGTTCACCAGCAAGTGATCCCTCCCTTGTTATCCACTCCCATCTTCTGGCAAACAGTCTACAGACACTCAGGTCATGGGGGTGCATCCCCGACCATCCTGGCTAATACTCTTCAATGGATCTACCCTCCAAGAACTTACCCAACTCTTTTCTGAAACTCTTTATAGTTTTAGCCTTCACAGCAACCCCTGGCAATGAGTTTCATAGGCTGACTGAGTTGTATTTGTTTTAAACCAGCTGCCTATTAATTTGATTGGGTGACCCCCACCCTCCCCCGGTTCTTGTGTTACATGAAGGAGTAAATAATATTTCCTTATTCACTTTCTCCAGAACAGTCACGTTTACACAGACCTCTATCATATCCTTAATCATTTCCTTTCCAACCTCAAAAATCCCAGTCTTCCTAATCTCTCCTCATATGTAAACTGCTCCATGCCCCTAATCATTTTTGTTGCCCTTCTCTGTCCGTTTTCCAGTTCTAATACACTTGAGCCTCTATAATTTAGATGTGTCTGATCCAGGAACCATTGTGGTTTGGACCCTGGCAAGGAGAGGAGGAAGCAGCTCTGCGCACTACAGCTCCCCCTAGCGGGGGAATGGCAGCTCCGCACAATCTTTCTTCAGAAGCTTTTCCCTCACTACTCCCATAGCAGCAGTGGTGGTGCCTGGAAGTGGTAGGAGTGTGGAGCCACGTATGCCCCCCAGGAGTGGGGTGCCAGGTAAGCACTCCCCCTTACACCAAGACCTCACATCCTCATTGCCCTCACATTCTCCCTCGCAGCCTCCACCCCCCTACCCACAAGTGTGCTTCTGCACCCTCTCTCCCTCCCAGACCCCATATATATTGCTAGCTATGTAACATCTGAAATAAAAGTTTAGTACTTTGCAAAATGTTTCTATTTTTTACTTCAAAACCAAAAGTATACATGAGCACCCATGGTCCGGAAAATTCCATAATTCAGCATAGCCTATTTCCCAAGGTTGGCAGATTAAAGAGGTTCACGTGTTTTTGGTTTTGGTTTTTTTGAGATGGGGCAACCAGATCTGCAAGCAGTATTCAAGATGTGAGTGTACCAAGGATTTATATAGCAGCATTATGATATTTTGTATCTTGTTATCTCTTTTGTTATGGTTACTAACACTGTGAGCTTTTTTTGACTGCCACTGCACATTGAGTGGGTGTTTTTTCAGAGAACTACCCACAATGACTCCAAGATCTTTTTCTTGACTGGCAACAGCTAATTTAGATCTCATCATTTTATATGCATAGTGGGGATTATGTTTTCCAATGGGCATTACTTTGCATCTATCAACATTGAATCTCATCTGCCATTTTGTTGTCCAATCACTCATTTTTGTGAGGTCCCTTTGTAACTCCTGCAATCTGCTTTGGACTTAGCTATCTTGAGTAGTTTTTATCATCTGCAAATTTCGCCACTTTATTCTTTACCCTTTTTCCCAGATCATTCATGAGAATGTAGAATAGTACTTGTCTCAGTACAGAGCTTTGGGAGACACCACTATTTACCCCTCTCCATTCTGAAAATTAACCATTTATTTCTACCCCATTTCCTGTCTTTTCACCAGTTACTGATCCATGAGAGGACTTCTCCTCTGATTCCATGACAGTTTACTTTGCTTAAGAGCCTTTGGGGAATGACCTTGACAAAAGCTTTCTGAAAGTCTAAGCACACCATATCCACTGTATTACCTTTGTACACATTTGCTGACACCCTCTATTAGATTGGTGAGGCATGATTTCCTTACATAAAAGCCCTATTTACTCATCTCCAACAAATTATATTCAGCTGGATGTCTGATAATTCAGTTCTTTACTATAGTGTCAGTCAATATGCTTTACACTGAATTGTGGCTTATTGGCTTGTAATTGGTAGGATCACCTCTGGAACTTTTAAAAAAACGTTACATCATATTAGCCATCTTCCCATCATCTGGTACTGAAGTTAAGTGATAAGTTACATACCACACTAAGTAGTTCTGCAATTTCACATTTGAGTTTCTTTACAACTCTTGGGTAAAAACCATCTTGCCCTGATATATTAAACAGTAATAAGTTATCTTTTTCTAAAACCTCCTCTAAGAATACCTCAATCTAGGACAACTCCTCAGATTTCTCCCCTAAAAAGAATGGCTCAGGTGTTGGAATCTTCCTCACATCCTTCCTCAGCAATGAAGACAGATGCAAATAATATATTTAGTTCTCTACAATGTTCTGATTTTAAGTGCTACTTTAGCACCTTGATCATCCAATGGCCCCAATGATTGTTTGGCAAACTTCCTACATCTGATATACCTACATTTTTGCGGTTAGTTTTTGAGTCTTTGGCTAGTTGCTCTTCAAATTCTTTTCTGGCCTTCCTAATTATAACAATCGACTTGCCAGAGTTTATACACTTCCTATTTTCCTCTGTAGGATTTAACTTCCAATTTTTAAAGAATGCCTTTTTGCCTCTAACTACTTCTGGTTCTCTCGGTTTTTAATTTGGGCTATATATTTAATGTGAGCCTCTATTACAGTGACTTTTTTAAAGTTTTTATGCAGCTTGCAGACATTTCATTTTTGGGATTGTACTTTTTATTTTCCGTTTAATTAGTTTCCTCATTTTTATGAAGTTCCACTTTCTGATGGTAAATGCTCCTGTGGTGGGCTTCCCCAGATATTAAATATAATTATAATTGCTGTTATCAAGGATTCAGATATATTCATCTCTTGGACCAGACCACTTCACTTATGACTAAATCAAGAATTCCCTCTTCTTGTGAGTTCTAGGACTAGTTGCTCCATGACTAGCAGTCATTTAGGATGTCAAGAAATTTTATCTCTGCGCCCCATCATAAGGTGACATATGTCTAGTCAATATGGGGATAGTTGAAATCCTCTATTATTATTGGGTTTTCTATTTTTATAGCCTCTCACATCTCCCTGAGAATTTCACAGTCACCCTCACCATCCTGGCCAGGATGCTATATTCTTATTATTCCAGTATGGAGTTTCTATCCCGAGAGATTCTATGGTATAGTTTGGTTCATTTCCGATTTGTACTATATTTGACTCTATGCTTTCTTTCCTAAATAGTGCCATTCCCCCACCTGCATGATCTATTCTGTCACTTCTTAATAAAAGGATACAAAATGTGCATGTGCCCCATTGATTATCATCATTCCACCATGTTTCTGAAATGCTTATTATATTAATAGCCTCATTTAATACCAAACATTTAAGTTCACCCAACTTAATATTTAGACTTATGAGAGCCAACTGAATGGGACTTTTTCATTAGGATGAAAGGCAGCTTGCTTTAGACTTTTAAAAAGTTTTGTCTAGAATAAAAATACTTCTCTTGTAAAAGATGTAATAAGCTAGGGCACCTGAAAAATCCAGACCCCTGGACCTGCACCCAGAATTAAACAGGGCATGTGTAGAATTGCAGGCTTTCGTATTATGTGGAGTAATAGGATCATGTAAGCGGTGAGCTGCTAAATTCCACCCATCCTGGAGTTTGAAGTCCTTTCACAGGTAGCCCCAATTAGGCATATGAACAGTTAACCAGCAGCATCAAGTATACATGACAGCAAGGGACAGGGATCCCTCTTAATCAGTTAGAACTAAGGTTTAACTGGTTAACTGATTAACCAGGATTTTATGTCCCTAGCCCTAACTAGAGGGCAGCTGTATTACCTTGGATTACAAAGGCATAGATCTCTAGGTAAAATTCTCACTGTACCTCCATAATCTCATCCAGTGCCGATTTCTTCTTCTTCTCTTTTGATTGACCGGAGCTGTGAGCAGATTCTTTCCGTTTAACTGACCCTGCTCCTCCCACCATCTTCAGTGCATTCGGTCCAAGCGCACTGCTGGAAGAGGGTTTAGATTATAGCACAACATTGTTTCCATTCCTAGTCTTAAACGCACACTTTTACTGAGACATCCCTGGTGAACAGGCTATGCAGAGAAGTATAGCTGATTGGCCTTCAACCCCGTCACATAATCTACATGGATCCTGCACCAGATTTCACTGAGAAGCTGTACGGACACAGAAGCAGATAAGTTTGCCGAATCAAGGCACTTCATTGTAAACTCTGGGGCAGGATTTTTGTCTTACTTTTCTGTTTGGATTTCAGGCACTTCTAGAAGCAAAAACAATCTTATGGTCAAACCAGCCTATTGGTCCAAGACTTTGATGGTTGCTTCAACCATTTTAATACAAAAATGTTTCTTCCAGCACATATTACAGGGAAATGCATCTGTGAGCAGAGGTTCATTAGGTGGACAAAAGCCTGTACGTTAAACATAACCTTTCAGATTGAATTGGGCCATATATACTGGTTTTTCTATAGGAAGCTGCTGCGTTTATAGACCGTGAACAGAGCAGTCAAAATCCTATACCTGAATATAGATTTGTTCATGTTTATTTTGAACCTGAAATTTTTCATTTTCTTTGACTGATTTTATGAAAGAGCATTCCTGATTTTGCAGGAAGTCAGTGAGTTTGTTTGCTTTGGTAACAATATTTACTCTCTCATGTTCAAACAATGCTTCCTAGATGTAAAGTGCTATATAAGTACTAAAAATAATTTAAAATAAAGCAGTGCAGGTTATCATAATCTAGATAGACTCCATGAGTGTTTTACTTCTGCATTAATGTTACAGAAGTCTTGTGCCAGGGAGCATCTCTGACTCTGCTTGAGAAATTTAAGTCACTTGACACACTAATTCAACAGAGGTCTAGTCAGACTAATTGCACGTAATAGCCAGAGAACACTCAGAACAGCATTTCTTGCCTATAGTTCTAGTCAGGGAAGTTTGTATTTTAAACCCTGTAATCACCATGAACACTACCTGGGAGCGTACCTCTTTAGGTGTGATTAATAACACAGTAACTCCTCACTTAACATTGTAGATATGTTCCTGAAAAATGCTATTTTAAGCAAAAATGTTAAGCAAATCCAATTTCTCCATAGGAATTAATACAAATAGGGGAGGAAGAGGTTAGGTTCCAGGGGAAAAAATGTGCATGACAGTATATACACATACAGTATAAGTTTTAAACAATTTTAAATAGCATTTAATACTGTACACAGCAATAATAATTGTGAAGCGGGATTGACGTTGCGGAGTCAGAGGGTGTAATATTTCTCAGGGAATATCTTGCTTCTAAACGATGAACAAGCACTCAGATAACTCTCAAGGGTTAACAGGTTAATGCAGCCTCACTCTGCAAGGCAGCATGGACAGAGGCAGGATGGAGGAAACACAATAGACCTGCTTTGTGGAGATGGGAATACAGCAATGGTGGCTTGACTGGGCGTGGGGGGAGGGGAGAGAAGGGAAGAGAAGTGAGACATCCTGATATCAACACCCCTCTCCTCCACAGCAAGCAGGGGGATCCCGGGAGCAGCTCCAAGGCAGGGGGCAAAGAGCAACATGGCAGTGAGGGGAAGGACAGAAGAACTGCAGCTGCCCAACCACATACAGTACTTAACAGGGAAGTTAGGAGGAGCTGATGGAGGGCTGCTGGCCCATTCGGGTTCCAAGATCCCTGAAGACAAGCTGCTTTTCAAAAAAATCCTGCAAGTAGTGGACAAAGCAAGAGTCCAAGCGATTTTATAAGGGAGCACCACACAACTTTAAGTGAGCATTTGTTTTAACAGATAACTTTGAAACAACATTAACCGGGATGACATTAAGGGTACATCTACACAGTGGCACTATTTCAGGATAACAACTGTTATCCTGAAATAACAGTGTGTGTATCTTACAGCATGCCTGTAATTTCAAAATAATTTTGGAATAACAGGCAGCTTATTCTTGCGTCCTGTAAACCTTGTTGGATGAGGAATAAGACAGACACTGGAATAGCGCTCTATTTCAAAATCAGCTATGCAATTTGTATAGCTCAAATTGCATGGCTTATTTCGAGCTATGCACAACTGTGTAGATGTACCCTAAGTAAGGAGTTACTGTATGCCTAAAAGCTTAAAATCCTTGTTACTATACTGAACCAGTTTGTCTAATTTTCTGTCTAGCACATCTCATGTTAGAGGTCTAATCTAAAAGCTTTCGTTTTACCTGTAACATGTTTAATTACAATAGTATCCTATGAGAAAGGATAGTTTACAGCTAGCCAAATGTCTTCACAACGGCTTTCATTTCTTAACATCATTGCTCATATTAGTGATCCCTTTGTCTTGCACTGCTTGTGATTACAAATTATGATGAAACTCAATGAATAGTTTAAAAAGATTTATTTGGAGTCACCCTCTGAATGCTGACAAGGAAAACTCACTGCAGGCAATTAGCCACAATAGTCAAACATGAGTTCACAAAATGAAATTAGCCAACTGGTGGTGGATAAATAGAAATGTGGGTAGGATATCTAATGCTCATCTAAATATTTTTGACTGTATATTTTATTTCTTTATCCAACTTTTCTTATGGTGCTTGTCTTCATAGGAGTTGACCCTGCAACTGGCTCCTAGCAGATTGATGCATGGAACCTCACTGATTTCTGTGGGGCTTCACACACATCCACACACCAGTAGGGATGCTAAAATGCATTTAATTATGTAATAATGTAACTACTGAAAATTTCAGTGATTACACTGTTACACGACAGGGGGCGAGAGGGAGAGCCAGTGTGCAGCTGCCTGATACAGAGGCGGCAGCATGAGGGGGAGAGGCAACTGTGTGTAATCATGCACATTATATGGGTTAACCATGTAAACGATTACTCTTTCACATCCCTACCCACTAGGCCCACAGATTCATAGAGCTTAAGGCCAGAAGGGATCATTAGATAATCCCTTATCTAACCTTCTGCATAACACAGCTGTACCGGGCAATAGACTGCACACCCTTTAGGGCAAGAACGGTCTTGCTGTACATGTGAGCAACAATTAGTGCATTGTGGGAGCAAGCAAAACACAAATAAGATTGACACAAACAGAATGGGATGCCTGGGTGTCTTTTCCTTACCTTGTTTTAGATGGTGCTGCTACTGAAGTACTTGCTCCTTTGTTTAAATTAAATGCAACTACAAATAAATAAATAAAAGATGTTACTTTAAATGATAAAAATAGAGTGCTACAGTGAAGAATTGTAAATAATAGAAGCACCACAAAAGTAGAAAGGTTGACTAGTCACATGTTTTGGCTCACCCTTTCAAATAAACTGCTTTGTACAATATACCACCTCCACCACTTTGCTTTTCATCCACGATCTTTAAGCACTTTACCAATGCTAAGCCTCAGTGCCCACCTCCCTGTTTTAATCCAGATAACAAATATCCTACATAAATTCTAAACATAAACCGTAAAAGTCCAGTTACCTTTCTCTTCTTCACTTTCTCTATTTAGTTCAGTATAGATAGGTCTTTCCTGCCAAAGAAAAAATAAAACACATTTCAAGGTCTGCATTAACAACTGACTTGTGATATCACAGCTGGGGTTTAATTAGCTCGATTTTTACAACCACTGAAAGGTTACTATTGCTATGGCATTCTGGGCTGATCAGTTATGAGAATCTGGACTGCAAGACATCTTGTAGACACCTGTGCAGAATTCTCCAATTAACATTCTATTTACAGATGTCATTCGAAATAGACTTACTCTAATAGGACAGCAAAGTTGCTTTATAACAGCCCTATTTCTTCCTGCACCAACACAACTATACAGGTTCGGCCTTTCTAAATAATATAGAAATGAAATTCTTCCCTATTTTGAGGCACTGCAATTCACAGAATCATAGAAATGCAGGGACAAAAAAGACCTCAATAAGTCATCTAGTTCAGCGTTTTTAAACCAGTGGTAGGAGTACCCTTACAGGTACTCGAGAGAAGTCTGGGGGGGGGGGTATGTCAATAACTGAAATTTGGAGAAAACTGAATTTTTGTTTTAAGTTTTATAGCGTTGTATTATTTATGTACTTTTTACATCTACAAATTTCACCGCCCACCCAGCTACAATTAAGTTGTTTAAATAAATGTGTTGCAATGGTAGAAACAAAAAGTGTGTCTGAAAACTGTAGGTACTGGGGGTGCTTTCAATTTGTTTTTTGAAAAAAGAGGGCACTTTATTTAAAAAAAAAAAAAAAAAAAAAAAGGGTTGAGAAACCTCTCTCTTTGAAATGTACAAGAGTGAGGCATAGCAGTCAGGACCCTGTGCAAGCAGGGAATGATTCAGTCCCCACTTGTGCCGTTTCCCCAGAGACAGTGCTGGGGGAGTGAGGGTGCTGGGGGGGAACCGGCTCCTGCTCCCCTCCCTTTGGTGCCTCTGATACAGAGGCAGCAAGGGCCGGGGGGTGAAGCAAAAAGTCGAGTGGTGACTCGACTACCCAATAAACGTAGGCTTATCAGGTAGTCGACTAGTCATTTGTGTCCCTAGTCTGGTGCTATTCCATAGTTTCATGAATGACTGGGATAACGGAGTGTAGCACATGCTTATAAAATTTACAGTTGACACCAAGCTGGAAGGGGTTGCACGCACATTGGAGGGCAGGATTAGAATTCAAAATGACCATGGCTAATCAGTGAATTGGTCTGAAGTCAGGACTATGAAATTCATCAAAGACAGCTGCAAAGTACTACACTTGACAAGGAAAATTCAAATGTACAGCTACAAAATGTGGCATACCTGGCTTAATGGTAGTACAGGCTGGACCTCCCTGGTCCGGGCACCCTTGTGATCTGATCATTCCCTATGAGGGATTTTGCCAAACCAGAGGAGGTCATATCTGGCTCCCCCCAGCCCTGGACCAGCCACTGGCCTTCTGGCTAACTCCCGCTTGCCACCAGCCTCATTATCCTACCAGTCCCCCCACCTCCTTCCCTGTTATGCCAGACAGACCAGCTGCAGCTCAGCTCCCTGTGCACCAGTCTCCTGGTCCCTCTGGGCAGCCCCACTGCAGCACACCAGGCTCCTTGCCCTACTGCAGTATGCTAGCTCCTTGTCCCACTGCGGCATGCTGGGCTCCTAGCCCCGTCAGGCAGCCCATCTCCACTCCTGGCCCTGCTGGGTTGTGCCTGGCTGCCCAGCTTCGAAAAGCCCAGCTACTAGCCCTCCACCCGGACCTTCCTGGTCCTGGAACATCTGTGGTTCTACCAGACGACGGATGTTACTGATTACAGAGGTTCAACCTGTACTGCCGAAGACGATCTAGCAGTAATAGTGGATCACAAACAGAATATGAATCCACAATGTGATGTACTTGCAAAAAAGGTAAATAATTCTAGGGTGAATTAACAGGAGTGTTTTATGGAAGACACTGAAAGTAATCATGCCACTCAATTTGGCATGGGGGAGGCATCAGCATATGGCAAGACCTATCTGAAAGCAACTTGGAACCACAGTTTTCCCAACTGACTAGAATGTCAGGCTCCAATTCTACAAAGCATTTGAACACATGTTCACCTTTAACCAAATGATTCATGCCATCAAAGAGTTACAAAATTGCAAGGTAAGTTCACCAGCTCCATTAGCAAATGAGGCTGTTCAAATGAAATTTAATAAAGATAGATGAATTTAGTAGACAACATTAAGTGAATGTTGCAATTAAATACAAGTTAGAAATACCCAGGAGGACTGTCGTACCAGAAAAGACCAATGCTTCAGATAGAATGGCATCATATGTCTGGCCTACACCTCGTGGTTGAGGTGACCAGAAATAAAAAATAAAAAAGCAAAACAACCTATGATGTATGTTAGCAATCCAATAATAGGTATGTGAGGGAAATTTCTCCCTAACCCCAGTTGGTGATCAATCTATAACCTGAACTGTGAAGGCTGATCATTTTTATCTTACTTAAGAAACTGCAGATGGAATTCCATTGGTAGATTCTGACAGAGCAGTCCGATTAGGGTTAACTTAAATTAAATATTTACTTAAGACTGATTTTGAGCCTAAAGTTTGGTATCTTCTCACCTGTTCTTTCCCTTCCAAGCCTCTTCTAACTTGCTCTTCAATGAATTTAGCAGTTTTTTCTTCATCATCAAGGTCCTGTTTCTTCTTCTTCTCTTGTTCTTGCTGTCTACGGATAGTTTCTGGATCCCGATCAATATACTGGATATACCAGCCTTTAGGAGTCTCATCCACTTTGCAGAAGCCTTAAAAAACAAACACAATGTTTCATAGTTACGATCAAAACCAAACTCTAGAAAAATACTTATACTTAAGAAATTATGTTTATGGAATATGTAAATGTCAAGCTATGTATCATAGACTGTATTTAGTGTATTAATGTATGGATTGTATGTTATAATTAATTACTCCTCGTACTAGGCTTGAATAGCTGCTTTTAAATTATCTTAAAGCATAAGTTTTTCCTTCAGGTGATCAGATTTATTTTGAAATAGGGCAGTGAAGATAAGCATATGAGCTTCCTTTTTGTAATGAAAAAGCATTTCCATTCCCATATTTTAACAAGGACAAAAATGAAATGAATATATAAATACACATATAGAATGGTATGCTATAGCATGCATTTTACTAGAATGAGTTCTGATTACTCACACTTGCAATTTTATTAGAATGATTTTGCAATTGGCCACGTCACTCATGAGTGACTCAGGAATTAATATTCACTACCCAGGACCTCAAGCCATCTTGATTTATGGAGCAATTCTATATTTAGGGGGAATATTTCTCCAAAAGCTTGTTGTTTTAAATGGCAGCTGTTGAAAGTTGATCAGAGTTTAATAGTAGTTCCAGTGGATGAGGATTAGTGGGCACAGTGCAGATGAAGCAGGAAAAGGCTCAGAGATTAGCATAAGATTTGAACTGTATTACATTCATATCTTGTGTGGCACAGATATGAGTACAATGAATGTATATGCATCCTTTTTCATGGATGTTCAGTATTTTGGACTAATCAGCAGATTTTATTGATTAGCTACTGATAATGCAGTCACACAATAAGCATTTCCTATGGGAAATAAAATTACCTTCTCTCCCTAACCATTTAGTAAAGTCAGTTAGGGTTTCCCACTGAGTGGCATTCATGTGGATGTGTTCTCGATGGCTGATATATTCGTTGTACACAATGTTATTGTGGACTCTTTTAGTTCCTAAAACAAAAATATATTACTGTTAAATACAGGATCATTACTGATGAATGCTTGTTAATAAACGATAAAGGGTCATTAAAAAAATAACTGAAATATTTACCAAATCGTCTCCTGAGCAGTTCTAAGAAATCATTTCGGAATTCCCTGATGGAATAAAAAACTATTTAAAAAATGCTTTTACAGTTACATAGTATTTTCATTTATAAATGGCAATGGAAAAAAGCATTTACAAAATAAAAAGGAGTATTCAAAAGAATATTGCCAGATTCAAAAAAATCCATTCCTTCTCTCACCGGAACATTTTAAAACAAAATATCACTATATACCCCTTCATAAGTCCAGTGTGGGCAATAAGTCAGAGGTCGTTCAGACCAGTACTCCACTTCCCACAGCTCCCATTGGTCAGGAATGGTGATTCACAGCAAATAGGAGCAGCAAGCGCCCATACCTGTGGAGACGCAGGTAAATACAGTGGCAGTGGCCCGTCAGAGGCTAACCCTGGCAAACCACATCCAGGCCCTGGGCCGACTACTGTCCACCGCCGGTCTATATGCACAGCATGTGAATCTGAATTTATATAGTTGTGCAAATATGCAAACATATTCACACATACTTTGGCTATGTCTACTCTGCATACCAGTGGTGGTGGCATGAAGTTATGTGGAGCTCAATGATGCTGCAAAATGCATGCTACATACACACTGTGTTGAGTAGCTACATGCAACAGTGGAAGGCTCCAGCAGCAACCTGCAACATACAAAGGCTTTGGCACTGAGGAGCTACCAAAGCCTTTCCCAGCTACCTCCCCCTCTAGCACCTTTCCCCTGCAGCTTTTTCCCATGGCAGGGAAAGACTCTAGTAGCAAACACTACACTACTAAAAATAGCAGTGTAAGCAGGAGAGGAGCTACTTGGGTGTGAAGAGAGCCATGCTGGGTACATACCCAAAGGGTTCAGACATGACTTTACTCACCTAATCAGTCCCTCGCTATCCACAATGCTGTTTATATCTGTGTTGGGGAGGAATATGGGGAGAGTGCAGTGTATGTATTCTATAGGCCACCATAAGGTGTGTGCAGTGTAGACATACCCTTTATCCTCCTTGACCTCTCAGCTGCCTCTGACACCATCAACTACGCTCTTCTTTTTGAAATCTTGTCCTTCCTTGGTTTCTGTGACTGTCCTTGCAAGGTTCTCCTCCAACCTCACTTATTGCTCCTTCAGTCCATCCTTTGGAGGATCCTCATCGTCCCTCCAACATTCAGTTAGGAGTTCCACAGTGTTTTGTCGCTGGGCCCCTTTTTTAATCTTATCTTGGGCAATCTCATTAGTCATACAAAACTACCATCTCTATGCTGACAACGCACAGAGCTACCACACCACTCCAGACCTGACACCTTTTCTCTTAATAAGCCAGCCTGTCTCTCTTGAAATTCCTTTAGCTGCCTCACTCAGCTCAAGTTCAACTTAGTAGAACAGAGTTCTTAATCAGGTTAAAATAAGTGCCTGGACTTATTGGTACACCAGAATCCTGAGCAAAGTGAAGGGGGCAGTGTCTTGAGCAGAAGGGAACAGAGCTAAGAGACCCGATTCCAACAGCCAGCCCTTCATGGCTACCACTGCAGCTGGTGGCCAGGAGCCCAAGGACTGCATCAGCAGTGGCTGGGAGCCTAAGGCACTTTTAAATTTCCGGGTCCCTGAGCATTTACCCCTTTTGTTCCCCTCTGTCAGCATCCCTGCCAGTAGAGAGGCCGATGAGAAGCAGGGGAGGAGCAAAAGGAGCAGCAATATGAAAGGGCTACCGCAACCATGCTTTAATGTTGGTTGTGATCAATCCACACAAGAGATCCACTTCCTGAAAACTACAGTATAAATAAATGATTGTCACATAGGCTATACCAGAAGCTTGCTGATTGCCACTCTTACTTACATGCCTCTAGCTTCCATCGAGGACACATCACACAACCTATTATCTACAGCCCTACGATACAACCGTATCTGCTCTGATTCTTCAGACAGAGACAAACACCTATAAGATCTTCATCAAGCATTAAATATCCACCTGGGGAAAAGGAGAAACAGATTGACAGAGCCAGATGAGTACCCAGAAATCACCAGCTTCAGGACAGGCCCAAAGTAAACAACAGAACACCACTGGTTATCACCTACAACTCCCAGCTAAAACCCCTCCAATGCATCATTGACAATCCACAACCAGTCCTGGAAAACGATCCCCAACTCTCACAGACTTTGGGAAATAAGCCAGTCCTCACCTACAGACAGCTCCTCAACCAGAAGCAAATACTCACCAGCAGCCACCCAACACAACACAGAAACATTATTCCTACAACAAACCTTGTTGCCAACTTTGTCCACATATCTATACAAGTGATACCATCAGAGAACCTAACCACATAAGCCACACGATCAGGGGCTCGTTCACCTGCACATCTACTAATGTGAAATATGCCATCAAATGCCACAAAGCCACTCTGCTATATATACTGGCCAAACCAGACAGTCTTTGCACCAAAGGATAAATGGTAACATACATAAACCAGTAGGGGAACACCTTAACCTCCCTGGACATTCAGCACTGGATTTGAAAGTAGCCAGCTTTCTGCAAAAGAATTTGAAAACACACTGAACGGGAATTCATTTCCAAATTCAACACTATCAATTTAGGAGTGAATAAAGATCTCAACTGGTTAACACATTACAAAGGCAATTTCCCTGTCTCTGGACATTTATATCTCCACCCTGATTTGATTAGCCTCATTAACACAAGCAAATTCTTCATTATATATATTCCTGCCTCTTATTTCCACTCCAATTCATCTGATGAAGAGCGTTTTACCCACGAATGCTTACGCCCTAATAAATCTGTTAGTCTCTATGGTGCCACAGGACGCCTCATTGTTTTTGTGTAACCTGAATTAGGGATGTAATAGTGTAGTCGATTAACCAGTAAGCAAAAGCTCATAGGTTAATGCTATAGATTACATGCATTTTCCTCTCCCCCATCTCACGGCCAGTACATTTTTTTAGCAGACTGGCCAGTAGCCTGGATCAGTCCTGTCTCATACTAGGTGCGGGACCTACCCCTGCTGCGGCTCTGCATTTAAAGTATATTAGGAGCAAGGCGGGCAGGCAATTCAGCTCAGTTCCAGCTCAGGCCAGGTCCGGGAGCTCAGATCACCCCCAGACAGGGGCTGCTCCCTCTTTATCAGAGGCAGCAGCACAGGGCGACAAGCAGCTAGTCCCCGAGGGGAACTGGATTTTAAACTGGCTCCCCGCCATGGACCAGCTCCCACCTGGTTCCCCCACGGTGCTGCCCTGTATCAGGCAGCAGCACAGAGTGGCAGGGGGCTCCTCAGGAGTGAGGCCAGAGTGCACTGGCCGCCAGCCCCACCCCCAGGGACTATGTAAGTCAACTAACCAATACAAATTCACAAGGTTAACAGACTATTCAATTAACCAATATTTAACATCCCTAACCTGAATGTCATCCTGGATTTGGAGCTCACTCTAGGTACGCGGTTGGTTCTTTCCATATAACATCTTTAAGACGTGTACCCACCCACACAACTAAAACACTAATTCAAATGGTTCATTATCTCACATCTCATTACTGCTACATCCTTTTCACTGGTCATGACAAAGGCACTCTTCCGCCATTCATAACCATTCAGAATGCTATTGCTACGATAATTTTCCTGACCCATCCCTTTATGCAGGCCAACCCTGTTTGCATCTCTCCACTACCTCCCCTTCAAAGAGAAGCTACTCAATGTCATTTTCTAGGATTTTTACAGTAATCTCCATTTTACTTATCTTTCAATCCCTGTTGGGCTGTTGACACTTGCCTCCAATCAATTTATAACAATCTCCATCACACGCTTACATTTTCTAAGTACCTTTGTGCTTTTTCCCAAGCTGTCCTTCACACATGGGAGGCACACCCCAGAATCACCAAAAAAGTTACCTTATTGTCCACTTCCAAATGACTCCTCAAAATTCTCCTTTGCTATGATTTCTAAAAAAAAAACTTTTCAACAGCTACACACCTCGTGTGGTGAAAATACTACCTATTATGCTGACAAACACTGCTAACAATTTCTAAAAAAAAACCTTTCCAACAGCTACACACCTCGTGTAGTGAAAATACTACCTATTATGCTGACAAACACTGCTAACTTGTTTCCTTGCACTTCTTTGTCTGTTTGTAGCCACATGTTGTCTCTTAGATTGTAAGCTCTTTGGGACAGGGTTGGTCTTTTTGTTCTGTGTTTTCATAAATCCTAGCACAATTTGGTTCTGGTTTATGATTATGCTCCCAGACACTGTGGCAATACAAATAAATAATAATAGTAACTTTTACCAGTTGACATTTCCTCACTACATAACTATAGAGAGTTACTAACAATGACCAAGTGCTGCTTTCTGACTGGCTAATAAGTAAAATAAAATACTTTGAAACTGAGTAAATTTTTCAAAAATTAAGTCCCATGAAGTTGCAATGAGACTTAGGTTCTTTTTCACTTAGGTGCTTTTGAAACTTTTATCCATTAACTTTTCACACTGCTGTTTAAAAAGTGTCTACCAAGTAACACTATAGTAAAATTTTAAAATTTATCAAAATCCAGCTTCTTCAATGGGACTCCAATGGGGCACAAGGATGCAACCAACGATTCAATTGGAGGATCAAGGCTTATCTGGGGAAGTTTGAGAAACTAACTCTGAAAAATAATCCATGAATTGCTGAGGATCTTCAGAAGCAAGTAGCAGCTGTCTCTGGTGAGATTCGGACATACAATGACATTTGAAGCCATTCTGTAAAACAAAAGATAAAGTTTATCTTGACTTACAGATGTCACAAAGATGAAATTTTAAAAAGCAACAAAATCTAAGTGAGAGTTTTTTAAAAAATAAAACTAATCCCGTACTTCCCTTGAATTTGTAATACCATCACTGCAGAGCTTAGGCAAAAACTGTATTACTACTGCTTCTGGATTGCTGAAATATTTGTCATAAAATCCTTATACTGTTACAGTGAAAAGAGATTTCCTTTGCTTCAACAGCATATCTCCCGCACCCCAGCCATTCCCTGTGTGTCCTTCAACCATACCTGACTTCCCTGACTTTGTCCAAATGGTCCTTCATGCCCAGAATTCCCTCTTCCCAAACATAGCAAGCATCTTCTCTTGATTTTCTTCTCTTACAAATCCTCAAAATACACTTCTGTTACAGCTACCTAGTTTTAGCCCTTCTCTTGCATAACAGATTTTATTTTCAATAATTCTGCATTGCTATTCTATTATTCTATTTCCCAGTCAGCCGTTGCTCATTACCCTGATGTATTTTTATGGTCTGGTCCTGAGAGGTACCCTTTGCCTTTGCCCTTGATGTCAATGAAAGTTATGGGCACTCAGCACCTTAGTGTCAAGCCTTTAGGTCCCAGTCCTGCAGACGTAATAGCAAAGTGGTTACTTTATTTACTGATTAATCAGTCTGAATACACACATAAGGGTTTTGTCATATGAGGACCCTAAGGTACTGAATGTTCATATTCTAAGGTACTAAGTGTCCATATCAATCTGAAAGCACATACGGGCAGTAGGGTTGCCAGGTGTGCAGTTTTGAACCAGACAGTCCAGTACTTGAGCTTTCTGTTCAGGAAACAAATTGAGAAAAGATAAATGTCCAGTATTTTCTAACTAAGATGTAATGTAATGTTAACTGTGTCTGGTATTTTTGTTAAAACCATCTGGCAACCCTAACAGGCAGGGGTTTTCATCCTCTGTTCTGAACAGCGTTAAGCACATGGTCTGCATTCAACAAATGGATATAGGGCTTTTAGTCTGGGAGCAGAACATGCATCAGTGCCATGAGTGAAGGCAGCATGTGCTACAAGTTGTGCCATATTTCCTAGAGATCAGTACTACATCTGTGAGTGTGGAAAGGACTCATGCTCCAATTTGTCTGAACATTTGATACTGATGACCTGCTACCAAAAAGGAGAGAAAAATCTAGTGCACTAATATATGTACCAGAGGCAGCAAGGGGTGAGAGGAAGCAGGAGACAGCTTAAAAGCCGGTTCCCCCCAGCACCGTCTCCGTGGTGCTGCCTGGCGCCCATTCTTGTGCTGCTGCCCAGGCTCACCACAGGCAGAGGATGCTCCTGCAGCAGCCCCTGTCTGAGGGAGGACCCCCGCAGACAGGGGCTGCTGGACCTGATGCGAGCAAGCCCAGCTCAGTCCTGGCTCACGCCAGGGTCCAGGAGTCACCTCGGCTGCACCTCTGCAGTTTAAACGGACTAGGAGCTGGGCTGCCCGGCATGAACTGGGACTGAGCAAACCTTCCCTTACTGACTGGTCCGTGAATTACCCGCCTCTTAACACCCTGACGCTGAATGGCA